CAACACTAGGGGCCCTAATACACGGCCTAAAGAGAATACAAACCATTAACAACACAAAAACACCAGTAGATACCTGGGAATTCCTAAAAATTAAACACTTACACTCATCAGAAGACATCACCAAAAGAGTAAAAAGAGAACAGACTGGGGAAAAAAAATTTGGCTGTGACATATCCAACAAGGATCTAATCTCTAAAATCTATAGAATACTTCAACATTTCAATAACAAAAAGACAAATAATTCAATTAAAAAATGGGCAAAGGATATGAACAGACACTTCACCAAAGAAGAAATTTAGGCAGCTAACAGACACGTAAGGAAATGCTTGAGATCATTAGCCATCAGAGAGATGCAAATCGAAACTACAATGAGATACCATCTCACTCCAACATTACTGGCACTAACCAAAAAAAAACAGAAAATAGCAAATGTTGGAGAGGTTGGGGGCAGACTGAAACTCTTATGCACTGCTGGTGGGAATGTAAAATGTTACAACCACTGTGAAAAACAATATGGCACCTCCTTAAAAAGCTAGAAATAGAAATACCATTTTGTTGTTGTTGTTAGGTACTGTTGAGTCATTTCAAACTCATAGTGACCCTATATACAACAGAGTGAAACACTGCCTGGTCTTGAGCCATCATCACAGTTGTTATGTTTGAGCCCATTGTTGCAACCACTGTCAATTCATCTCGTCAAGGGTCTTCCTCTTTTTCGCTGACCCTCTGCTTTACCAAGTATAATGTCCTTCTCCAGGGACTGGTCCCTCCTGATAACTTGTCCAAAGTATGTGAGAAGTCTCACCATCCTCGCCTCTAAGGAGCATTCTGGCTGTACTTCTTGTAAGACAATCCTTGGTATATTCAATATTCTTTGTCAACACCATAATTCAAAGGTGTCAATTCTTCTTCAGTCTTCCTTATTCATTGCCAAGCTTTCAAATGCATATAAGGCAACTGAAAAATCATGGCTTGGGTCAGACGCACCTTAATCCATAAAGTGACATCTTTGCTATTTATTACCTTAAAGAGGTCTTTTGCAGCAAATTTGTCCAAAGCAACATGCTGTTTGATTTCTTGACTGCTGCTTACACGGGCATTGATTGTGGATCCAAGTTAAATGAAATCCTTGACAACTTCAATCTTTTCTCTGCTTATTGGCCCAGCTTTGAGGATTTTTGTTTTCTTTATGTTGAGGTCCAATCCATATTGAAGGCTGTAGTTTTGATCTTCATCAGTAAGTGCTTCAAGCCGTCTTCACTTTCAGCAAGCAAGATTGTGTTATCTGCATATCGCAGGTTGTTAATGAGTCTTCCTCGAATCCTGATGCCCCATTCTTCCTATAGTCCAGCTTCTCAGATTATTTGCTCAGCATTCAGATTGAATAAATATGGTGAAAGAATACAACCCTGATACACACCTTACCTGACTTTAAACCACATAGTATCCCCTGTTCTGTTCAAACGACTGCCTTTTGATCTATGTACAGGTTCCTCACGTGCACAGTTAAGTGTTCTGGAATTCCCATTCTTCGCAATGTTATCCATAATTTGTTATGTTCCACACAGTTGAATGCCTTTGCATAGTCAATAAAACCCAGGTAAACATCTTTCCAGTATTCTCTGCTTTCAGCCAGGATCCATCTGATATCAGCAATGTTATCCCTCGTTCCATGTCCTCTTCTGAATTCAACCTGAACTTCTGGCAGTTCCCTGTCAATGTACTGCTGCAATCGCTTTTGAATGACCTTCAGCAAGATTTTACTTACACGTAATTTTAATGATATTGTTCGATAATTTCCACAATCTGTTGGGTCACCTTTCTTTGGAATGAACACAAATATGAATCTCTTCAAGTTGGTTGACCAGGAAGTTGTCTTCCAAAGTTCTTGACATAGGTGAGTGAACACCTCCAGTGCTGCATCTGTTTGTCGAAACATCTCAAATAGTATTCATCAGTTCCTGAAGCCTTGTTTTTCACCATTTCCTTCAGTGCAGTTTGGACTTCTTCCATCAGTACCATTGGTTCTTAATCATATACTACCTGTTGAAATGGCAGAACGTTGACCAATTCTTTTCGGTACAGTGATTCTGTATATTCTTCCATATTCTTTTGATTCTTCCTGTGTGGTTCAGTATTTTGCTCATAGTATCCTTCACTGTGTCAGGTCGAGGGCTGAATTTTTTCTTCAGTTCTCTCAGCTTGAGAAATGCCAAGCGTATTCTTCCCTTTTGGTTTTCTGACACCAGGTCTTTGCACATGTCATTATAATACTTCAGTTTGTCTTACTGAGCTAAATTTGTTCAAGAATAAATTTGAGAGTCTCTTCTGACACCCATTTGAACTTTTCTTTCTTTCCTGTTTTTTTAATGACCTCTTGCTTTCTTCATGTGTGATGTTCTTGACGTCATTCCACAACTCATCTGCTCTTTGGTCATTAGTGTTCAATGGGTCAAATCTATTCTTGTTGAGATGATCTCTAAATTTAGGTGGGATATACTCAAAGTTGTATTTTGACTTTTGTGGACTTGCTCTAATTTTCTTCAGTTTCAACTTGAACTTGCGTATAAGCAATTAATGGTTCATTCTGCAGTAGGCCCCTGGCCTTGTTCTGACTGATGCTATTGAGATTTTTCCATTGTCTTTTTCCACAGATGTAGTCAATTTGATTCCTGTGTATTCCATCTGGTGAGATCCACGCATATAGTTGCCATATATGTAGTTGAAAAAAGGTATTTGCAATGAAGAAGTCGTGGGTCTTGCAAAATTCTATCATGTGATCTTTGGCATCTTTTCTATCCCCAAGGCCATATTTTCCAACTACCGATCCTTCTTCTTTGTTTGCAACTTTCCCATTCCAGTCACCAGTAATTATCAATGCATCCTGATTGCATGTTCGATCAATTTCAGACTGCAGAAGTTGGTAAAAATCTTCAGTCTCTTCATCTTTGGCCTTAGTGGTTGGTGCATAAAATTGAATAATAGTCATATTAACTTGTCTTCCTTGTAGGCTTATGGATATTATCCTATGATTGACAGCGTTGTACTTCATGATACATCTTTAAATGTTCTTTTTGACAATGAATGCAATATCATTCCTCTTCACTTTGTCATTCCCAGCATAGTAGACCATGTGATTGTCTGATTCAAAATGGCCAATACCAGTCCATTTCAGCTCACTAATGCCTAGGATGGAAATCCTGGTGGCGTGGTAGTTAAGAGTTCGGCTGCTAACCAAAAGGTTGGCGGGTCGAATCCACCAGACGCTCCTTGGAAACTCTATGGGGTAGTTCTACTCTGTCCTATAGGGTCGCTATGAGTCAGAATCGACTCGATGGCAGAGGGTTTGTTTTTTTTTTTGGAACGCCTAGGTTATCGATGTTTATACGTTCCATTTCATTTTTGATGACTTCCAATTTTCCTAGATTCATACTTCGTACATTCCATGGTCTGATTATTAATGGATAGTTGCGGCTTTTCCTTCTCATTTTGAGTCAAGCCATATCAGCAAATGAAGGTCCTGAAAGTTTGACTCCATCTGTGTCATTAAGGTTTACTCTGCTTTGAGGAGGCAGCTCTTCCCCAGTTGTCTTTCGAGTGCCTTCCAACCTGAGGGGCTCATCTTCTGGCACTATATCAGACAATGTTCCACTGCTATTTATAAGGTTTTCACTGGCTAATTTCTTTCATAAGTAAACGGCCAAGTCTTTCCTCCTCGTCTGTCTTAGTCCACAAGCTCAGCTGAAACCTGTTCACCATGGGTGACCCTGCTGGTATTTGGATACTGGTGGCATAGTTTCCAGTATCACAGCAACACGCAAGACCCCGCAGTAAAACAAACTGACGGATACCTGGGGGAAATCAGAAATATCAATGTTTTAATATTTGAAAATATGTTAATAACCTTCATCAAAAAAAGAGAGAGAAAAATCCTTTAATTTTCTCCATGGTTGTATTTGATAAAATTCAACGTCCCTTCCTAATTTTTAAAATATAATCTAAATAAAAAAGTAATGGATGTGATTTTTTTAAAAATAAAAATATATCAGAAGTCAAAACAATATGTTTATGTAGTATGTTTAATATGCAATATCAGAAATAGTCCCATTGAGGTTAAGAACAAGGAAAGATTGTCAATTCAAAATTCCCACAATAGCATTTTTAATGGCTATGTCTCATCTCATTCCTGTAATCATACTTGTCTTGTTTATATATTTATAACTCTTATTGTTGGAGAGAACTTTAGTTTAAAAGTATAATATGGCTGAATAATCTTTTTTGTACACAGTACAGGCTGTTGTGAGTCCTTGTATAATCATAATATATAGTAATTTATACTAATTTCCTAAGGCTGAGGTAATAATTTTCCTCTTAAGTAATTACAGAGGCTTATAATTGTTGTGTCTTTGCCCTTAAGGTATATTGTTTTTGTTTATGATGTGAGAAGTTTTTCAGCAGCAGTGTAATCTCCAATTTTATTTTTGCCCCATGGGAAACCACAGTTCCTTCTGCGACTATCACTTGATGATGCATTTATCAAAAGTGCCTTTCAGCACAAAGCCAGTGCTGTCAGGGGTGGGCTTTTCTCCCCTCGCCCCCAGAAGTCCACTGGAAGTGTGTGTATGCCTGTGGAACTCAAGTTTCTGTAACATGAATTTAGCTGGCCTCTACTGAGCTCTAGACCAGGAAGGTAACTGATATTTGAATAGGTAAGCTGGACTCTATAGAACAGGGCTTCTTTTGTAAGATGTGATCTGAGGAAACAATCAATTTGAATTTTCTAACTTCAGGGCACTTGTTTTTTCATCTTAACCATTAATAATTAAGATTTGTATCATTATGGGATAGGATTGTATGCCTCAGCTATCAACAACCACCTACAAATCGTATGTTCTTTGTGTTTTTAAGTGACTCATGGCAGCAGAATGGGGTGCGGCTGCCCTAACACCTTTCCCCTCCTGGCCAGCTCAGCTCCCTTCACATTTCTTGGCTCTTTCCAGCCTCTCAACTATGCCAATTTGGACCAGGAGAAGAGCTCCTGGCCAGCGGGCTGCTTTTTATTTGTTCTGCCCTGGGACGCCTTTGTCCAAGCTCTTGTTGTCGCCAGTCCCCGTGACTCACTCACTTTGCAGGAGTTAGGCTAGGCCCTGAGTCTGCAGATGCAAAGTAGAGATGTGAGAGAGTTTTTTCCCCACGTTTTCCTCCTTACTTGCTTTTATGAACACAGCTGAGTAAGGCAGCAACATCCAGAATCCAAACATCTAACCCCAGGGTATACAGTCTGCCTGAGTGGATTCTTCTGTTGTGAACCAAAGAGTTTTCATTGGCTAATTTTCGTAAGTAGACTGCCAGGCCTTTAGTCTAGAAACTCTGCTGAAACCTGTCCACCATGGATGACCCTCCTGGTATTTAAAATACTGGTAGCATAGCTCCCAGCATCACAGCATTACTTATTACCACCTGTCAGGAAGGAATCTGAGACATTTTGTCTAGCTATGGACAATCCGAGTTCACTTTGCACAGCTGGGTTCCCCATGACAGTACACGTGGGTCTGTAGAGAAGACTGGTGTGTCCACCTTCCTTCACCTCTGTTTTCAGAAAGGTTTGTGTGGTGAACTCAGTTGGTTAGCATCTTTCAGAATCAGGAAGGGATAGAGAGGGTGAACTTGCCTTCAGCGTCTTCTCTTAATTTTTCCTGCTTGTGGGATATTTTGAAGATGATTTTGAGTATTTGGCTTTCCCTAATGTAATCAGCCCTGGTGACGCAGTGCTTAAGAGTTCAGGGCTAACCGAAAGGTTGGTAGTTTGAATCCACCAGCCACTCCTTGGAAACACTATAGGGCAGTTCTTCTCTTCTTTGCTGAGCTTTTTCCTCGGATCAAGGCGTTTTTTAAATTAAAGGGTTCTACGGAGATGGTGCAAACAGTTTGCACTTGACTGTGCAAAGTTGGCAGTTTGCACTCACCTGGCGATACCATGGAAGAAAAGGCCTGGTGATCTGCTTCCATTAAAATTAGAGCCAAGAAAACCCTATGGAGCAGTTCTACCCTGTAACACATGGGGTCGCCATGAGTTGAAATTGACTCGAGAGCAACTAACAACAGCATTGTTTTTGTTAGTTGCCATTGAGTTAGCTCCAACTCATGGTGTGACCCCATGTACAACAGAAGAAAACTCTGCCCAGACCCATGCCATCCTCATAATTGCTAGCATGATTGAGTCCCTTGTTGCCTTCCAACCTAGGAGGCTCATTTTCCAGTGCTATATTGGACGATCTTCTGTTGTGATCCATAGGATTTTCAATGGCTGATTTTTGGAAGTAGATCACTAGGCTTTCTTCCTAGTCTGTCTTCGTCTGGGAGCTCCACTGTAATTTGTATTTGAAATACTGCCGGTAAGCTTCCAGTATCACAGCAACACGCAAGCCACCACAGTATAGAAAACTGACAGATGGGTGATGGAAAAGGTTCTATAGACCTAACTTACTGAATAGCCAGTGACTCAAAGTATTATCTAACTGACGATGCAAGACGTCTGAACACACTAAAATTGAATCTTTGGGGATAAAACAGGCTGTGAATAATGTATCCAAGGAAATAAAGACTCAGATGGAATGTGCAGAAAGTACAGTTGCCCTAAAGATTGCCCTCATTCCCACTGATGAACCCTAAGGTCACTGGGTCTGATGAACAAGCAACTGCTGAGTGTGATTCAGTTTTAATCACTAGCTGGGTGACCTTGGGCAAGTCAATGAACCTCTTCATGTCTTAATGCCCTCCACTGTAAAAGGAGGATACTAGTAGAGCTTCTCTCAAAGGGCTATTGAGAGAGGTAAATAAGTTAGTGTCTGAATACAATAAGTGCTCTCTATGGGTTCGATTTATGATTATTAAAAACTGAGTTTTAAGATTCAGTCATTCATCAACTATTTTTATGCCAGGCTCTCTTCTGTGGGCTTGGGATCTGTCTTAGTTATCTAGTGCTGCCAAAACAGAAATATAACAAGTGGATGGCTTTAACAAACATAAATTTATTTTCTCACAATTTAGGATGATGGAAATCCAAATCGAGAGCACTAGCTCTACGGGAAGACTTTCTGTCTCTGTTGGCTCTGGAAGAAGGTTCTTGTCTCTTCAGCATCTGCTTCTTGGTTCCTTGGAGATGTCCGCGTGTCTTGGCATCTATCTTACCCCATCTCTCCTTCTTTTGCTTGCTTGTTTAATCTCCTTTAGGGGCCCTGATCATGCAGTGGTTAAAGCGCTTGGCTGGTAACTGAAAGGTCGGCAGTTTGAACCAACCAGCTGCTCTGTGGGAGAAAGATATGGCAATCTGCTTCCATAAAGATTTATAACCTTGGAAACCCTACGGGGCAGTTCTAACCTGTCCTATAGGGTCACTATGAGTTGGAATCTACTCAACAGCAAAGGGTTTGGTTTTTGGTTTGGTTTATATCTCAAAAGTGATTGACTCAAGACACATCGTACGCTAATCTTGCCTCATTAACGTAACAAAGACAGTCCATTCCCAAATGGGATTACAACCACAGGCGTAGAGGTTAGGATTTACAACACATATTTTGGAGAGACATAATTCAGTCTATAACAGTATCCAGTGATGAACGATATTGACTTGAAAGTAAACTACACCCACCAAGAAGACATAATGTCCCTGGAAATTAGAAAATATGAATCTCAGAATTGTGGGTAAAATTATGGGCTTCTTTTGTGCCCACTTGGTTCTGTGGTATGATATTTTTTTCATGGAAACCTAAGAGAAGTCATGCAAATATTGGATTAAAATAAGGTATGCCCAGGAGGAATACAACATGTTAAAAAAACCAGCATATTCCTGAACCGGGACTCACACCCTGGTTCTGGCCTTTGGTAGCTGTTATGTTTCATTTGCCATCGTGCCTTCCACAAAGCCTGGTCCACTACAACCAGCTGCAGTCAAGTTGATTCCGACTCATAGTGACCCCATATGTTTCAGAGTAGAGCTGTACTCCATAGGCTTTCCATGGCTGTGAACTTTTGGAAGCAGATCACCAGGACTTTCTTCCAAGGCAACCCTGGGTGGTTTCAAACCGTCAACCTTTCAGTTAGTAGCCCAGTATTTAACAGTTTACACCACCTAGGGAGCCATATAGAGCCTGGTACTCAGTAATTCTTTTAATAAATTAGTTATTGAGCAAAAAGAAGATATTAGAATATGTTTACAGATAGAAAATGGGCAAATAATAAAGCAAATAAGGCAAAGTGTTAATAGGTTACTCTGGGTATGAGTGTTTTTTAACTATTCTTGCAACTTTTCTGAAGTTTGAAATTATTTCCAAGTAAAAACCTCAAGTAAAGAGATGACAAATGATAGAATCACAGTTGTGGACTATGATTGGTTTTAATGGTTCTTGATTTTTTTTCCTATGCTTTTCTATATTCTAGGTATATCATAATTTTTCCCTTGATGGAGATCACAAAAAAAGCTAATTAAACTGAAAAGAAATATTTAATATGATTCACAAGCACTTAATATATTAGAAGTGGAAACAGTTTAAACTCAGCGATTTTGAAGCAACCTGCTGAAATAAATTTCCTCTGTGTTGATGGCTTATGTTAAGTCTGCCCATGGTAACTTTACAAGAAGGAACATTTTGTAGCTGCTGATTCATTCTCTCTTGGCAGATATAGCAGCAGTAAAGTTGAAATATCATTGTTAGTACCCTTTTATTTAGCTTTGTGCCTTAGGGGCACTCGAAGCATAATTGATGTAAGCTAGTTTTTCTGTGTTACTATGAACACATGGTTTATTGACCTGAACCAAATTATCTTTTAGGTGGGGACAAGAAAGTTGAATCCTCAGAGCCTAAAACACAAGTGAATCTCAGAGACTAAAATACAGTCTCAGCTGGCTTCTTTTTGAAGAAGTTTTTGCTTCAGCTTGGAGTCCTAGAAATTATCATTATTTCTCAATATACATTTAAGCAACTGCAGATATTTGAAAACAAGGGTGATACAGTTTTCAATTAATTTCAATTTTTTGAGAAATTTAATTCCACTAACTGACAAAAGTAAAATAAAATACTCAACAATTTTTGCAAAATTCTTTTAATTTACTCTGTAGATCCTTAATTTAGGGAGACTTTTTATAAAAATGATGTTTGCATGTTAATACATGTTGATTACAATAAAAAATTCTAAAACTATAATTTATAATTTTATAGCTTTAGTGAACATCTTTTGAGAGTTTCTTTATGCAAATTTTAATTCATTTTTGGCCATTACCCAATCTTTTTCAGAGACAAAGAGCTCAGATGATCCATATGGATTTTTTTCCCATTTTAAAAAGCCAAATCCACCTACATTTGCACAGAAAATCCTGTCAAATAGTACAGGGAGAGTGGTTAGTAACAGAATAGTATTTGGAGAGATGCAGAATTGGATTTCTATCCTAGCTTGGCTGCTAGTTGGCTGTGAGAGTTTGGGCAGTCATGTCATCTCTGTTTCCTCTTTCTCATATGCAGAATGGACTAGTGGTTGGGAGGCTTAGCAATAATATATTTTGTGTAAAAACCAAAAATCAAACCCTTTGCCATCAAGTTGATTCCCACTCATAGTGACCCTATAAGACATAGGGTTTCCAAGGAGTAGCTGGTGGATTCAGACTGCCAACCTTTCGGTTAGCAGCCAAGTTCTTAACCACTACACTACCAGAGCTCCATATGTAGTCTACCCAGTCCCAATCCTGGCTTATGATAGACAAGTAGTAAAAATGGTTATGAATGTGATTACTGGAAATGTAAATTAGTACGTTCTGGAAGGCAATTTAGTCTCAGAATTTTAAGCATGTAAAATCTTTAACCCTGCAATTCCACTTCTATGATTTTATTCTAAGGCTGTGATAAAAAATACACAAAAAGATAAGATCTTTTTTTCTCAGCATGTGTATACTAGGGAAAAATTGAAAAACAATTAAATGACCATTCAGAGGGAAATTTTCAAATAAATTTTGTTACTTCCATTCAGTGGAGTACTATGCAGCCTAAAAAATGAGCAGACTGAGCATGGTACACTTATATCTGTTGATACCATTTAATGTCTGTGTAAGATTTGTGCATTATACCTGTGTGTGTGTGTGTGTATATGAGTG